TATTACTGCTTTCTTATCGACATCTGAAGTTAAAGAGTTTACAGGGCGGAGTAATCCAGATTTAATAATATGTAATCCATAACCTTTAGAAACCGTAATAACCTTAATAATCCATAACTGTTAGAAATACCACATGAAATTAAATTAGGCAACGTTGACTGTTGTGGCAAGGGTAATATTCCTCTCCGGAAGGGAGTCTGCGGTTTGCTTCAATGAAACTTTTCCACGTTTTGTACTGTCCACACACGTGTCTGCGACCCGTGCGCGGTATCCATGTGGAGGACGTTTTGAATATATTTCTGTTCTCTTTTTCTGCCGTTTTATCAAACGAAACGACGGGTCGGTTTCTGATCTCGGTTGATAGTTTTCTCAGACGGGAGTTCGTCTGCACCGATACGTTCGTGATCTGATTATTTTATTAAACTTACGGAACTGTAAAGAGCAATGATGGAATTAATGAATGAGATCATTCTGTATGGCACATGTAATTATTGAATTATAAATATGGATAAGAAAATCATTATTTTGAACATTGCCGTATTGCAACAGTCAGCGACGACTGGCTGCAACGAAGCTGAAGCAACTGGACGAGTCCATCAGGGTATCCAGCTTAGACGTGAGGCGAACAAAAGGTTAAAATTTGATTCGAATAAAGGACCGGAAACGTGGGCCGAAGACAGGAAGGAGCGCTAGTCTCCCATAAAAAACCAAAAATATAGGTCGAGCGAAGCAGAAAGCGCTTGCATATTGCACGTCACGAGACAAAGGAGCACCTTGCACGGGAAGTATGGCCAGTTGATCAAAGCGCATTGGTCCCGAGGATGATCAAAGAAACCACGGGCGTAGAAAAGGACTAGTCATTGTTGGAATGGTAAGATTATTATGTGGATATGAAGACTGCGATAGATCGTGTAGGAACTTTGTGTCATTTGTATGTACGCTGAGCTAGCAAGTAAAGCCTTATGATCAAATTTTAGATCCTGCTTACTAATAGTGCAACACCCAGTACTATCGGCGCTCATGAACAGTCTCGAAAAGTCTACTGTATTTGATAGTCATGAAGCCTGTCTAGAGAGTTTCAAACAGTGCTTTTGCGCGATGTTCTCTAAGTGTGATGACGTCATCAGGTCGCGAAAAGAGTGGGTGCCTAGAAAACTATCGGATAAACGCAAAGTCCTTCGCCTGGATTGACTTGCTAAAACGGCTGTAAATATGAATGGAGTTGTTTCAAAAACTTGTGGCAAACGCAAACTAGCGGTAGACGTATTGGAGGATGATACAAATGGAAACATGCCGTTGAGGGTGGTCTGATGGAGGCCTAGTAATAAAACTTTTTCCGTAACAGTTAATGTTTCCTACATCAATCTACGATACCACTTCTAATGGCTACACATCATACATCTCGGTTAATGTACTGCTTGATTTCCTTTACTTTTTTGTGACGAAGACAAAACGATAACAGTCATTAAATTCAGGTTTTCTTCAGAAAAACATTGGTCATCTTGACGAGAAACAGCTAAATTTTAAAATAAAAATGCTTTCTTTAAAGCTTTTGACCAGAAGTTCACGGAATTTCAAAACTTTCTGGTCAAAATTTGCCGTTATTGAGCGTTTAGACAATTTTTATGGCTCAAGGATCAAGGAAATTCTAAGAAAGGAATAATTCTTATATGCATGAAAAGTTGCGATTGTTGTGGATTCAGAAGTTTTTATAGTTCAAGCGAAAACATTGACTACACATCTATACTCTGCCCATGAGTTGAAAACTCCGCGCGACGTTCCTAAATACCTCGAGCAAAATCTTCAGTAAGCTCTGAATAATAGTTGAGAAGGATCATAGCGATGCTCTGGTATCAAACACAAGTTTGCAAGTTCGCACATAAGTATGCTCACTGTCTGATACTGCCACGTTTTTAACCAGCAAGACAAGAGGCAAATAAAACTGAGTCTATTAATAAAATAAGTAAAACTCTCATTCACTGAGTTGTATACAGTGTACAGAAGTATGTTACGAATGAACTTGCTGATCTGTACTTTATGTAAATTTAGTACAGTGTCGTTGAACAATCTTTTACTAGAAATTCAAAAATGGATAATAATAGGCTTTTGGGTAACTGATTTATTTTACTTCAGTCGTTAATTCAATTCGCATTATTTAGATCCTTCGGCATGGCAGAACTTTCTTGAGGCAGCAGGTTTACAGAAACCTATTGCGCTACAATATGGCACTCTCTTTGCAGAAAACCGGATCAGGACGAACATGCTCCCAGATTTGACAAAGGAAGTTCTGAAGGAAATGGGAATCCGAGCGATTGGAGACATCATGTTGATTCTGAATCACTGCAAGCAGCAGTATCTTTCGCAGGTAGTTGCTTGGCTTGGCGTTCTGGTCATAGTTCATGTGCTCGAAACAGTACCTCTATTCGTTTGCTAACTTTATGAGTCTTAGTTTTGTTCTTGAATATTCCAAAATTGCTTACCTTATATCGCATGCACCTTGAATACGAACGTTAAGATATCTTTTTTCTTGCCTGAAGCTGCATTTGAGTAAATCAATCCTTTTTTCACTCAATAGTTTCGTATTAACTGCTTTGGCATACTTGTTTATTTTTTTATGTTCGTTATTTCCTCCCTTCAAACCTGTTGTTACGCGCATGTTTTGTTCTTATCATAAGAAAGAAAAAAATTTTAATTGAATTGACATCTCTATACAGAAAATAAAACACGATTTTATGGGTTTTCTAACATTGATAGTTATTGATAACGCTGTTAAGATGTTTAATCATTTTAACTTGTTGACACCAGATTGAAGCGGCGTAGGCACCGCCGCTTTTCTTCTA